AAGAAGAATGTTGTTAGTCGACAGGCACATGAAATAAATATGATTATTTTCAAACTTACCTGTTTGATAAATACAGTACAGGTACTTAGCTTTACCTCGCTGGGTCAAAGCTCGAGGATCAGGTACAGAAATACGTTACTTACTGGAAGGATCACATTCAAATACCTCCCTAATATATACGAACATATTGCAATTTAGATTAAACTCTTAAGAATGATACTTAAAATAAACGCTTTTACTTATTCGAAAATACCCCGCAGCATCAATGCTTAATCAAATTTAAAATAGTCCATTTAGGTTTCAAATAAAAAATTCAAGTTTCTACAAATACTCGTTACGGTCCATCTCAGGCAAGACCTACTTAATACATAATAAACATCTATTGGGATGGCTTTTACCACGCTCCTGCGAAGATCTGCAGTTAAGGTACTGTGAAATACTTAAAACGCCAAAGCAATAAATCTACGATAATGCCAAGCTGTTCAGCAAATTTTTCTTCTTTTTTTAATTAGATTATTAGGGTTAGGAATTCTGAGAAGGTAAGAGACTCTATTAATTACAAGTCGGTCTACATTCCTTACTTTGTTTATAGATATAAGAAAGTGACCAATTGCTTTTGAATGGGATTATCCAAGGGTCGGTCATTAACATACAATGCAACAAGATTATTACCTAAATTGCCTAAAATGGGGCGATGTTTAAAGCAACATGGACGTCTCGCGTGTTTTTTTTTAAGTAATTTTTTGTCTTTCAACGACAGTTAACAAATATAGCAATTTCGTTAAATGCATTAAAAAATAACTTCAAATGAGAAAATACTTAACCATTTCGTGAAATGAGAATATATTTTTGATGTTTATTTTTAACGGTATGGTCTGTTCACAGGTATAAGAAAGTGACCAATTGCTTTTGAATGGGATTATCCAACTAACCAAAACTATCCAACATAAAATGCAACAAGATTATGACCTAAAGTTTCGGAATTTAAATCCAGGTAAAATTGTGGTCCCTAATAGAAAATAATTTTATACCTACCTGTGTTTAATATTCTTGGGTTTGGTATACTACTTAATTTAAGTTTATTAGTAATCATTCTTATTTCGTGTGTAATACAGCGTGTGTTGAATCGTGTGCGAATTATGCAAAATATGTGCGAGTCTAGTGTATCTCAGGAGATGCTCCCGCCCAAATGTAGAAAACACAATTCTATTGAGACTAAGGAAGTTATAAACAATATGATTAAAAAAAATTGTAATTTTATTTATAAATAAATATTGTTTAGTATCTTTCCTAACAAAATCCCAAATAATTAAATTCTAAGCCAAGTACGGACCTGTTCGGCCATATTTCATTCTTACAGCTTGCCCGGGTCTTTCCTTAATTCGTATCAGTTAGTCACTTTCTTATATCTATGAACAGACTTTACCTGATGTGCCCTTTTTTCTTTCGGTATGAGAGTGAGAAATTCGTTATACAGAGTGGATTAATACATAGCTTTGTATAATAGTACAACAAATATTGTTCGTCATACAGAGTTTTACGTTATATGTTATTTAGAAGTTGTTAGACTCACAAACCTGGAGGATGATGGATTATTCCAGACCCTTTTATTACGAAGGCTGGCCGAATGGCCTTAAGTAGTCGTGGCCTTTAGAATTAAAAAAAAACAAAGTTGTTTTCGGTAGATGAATTGAATTATAAAGTGAAAATTGATGAATATATTAATGAGATCGTCTTACAAAAATACACTCAGCTCCAAGAAATATACGAGGAGAGTTTGAAACTCGTCTCCATATAAAACATGCCTAGACTCTTATTTTGTTCACTTCTGATTTTAGATTTAGAACTGGAAAGAAATTACGAATACAGTTTGAAACCAATCCATTGCAGTGGATGCCATGGATAACGCAGTAGTATTATTCAATCATTATTTATTTTGCAGGAATGGAAAAGTAGACAAATGACAAATGAAATAGTTTTGAAATACAACCGTAACAAATAACTCTTTTCTCTATGCCTTAGGTTTTAAGGGTTATAATCGATTTTTTTACGACGCCAAGTCAAAGCTATACAAAATCTTTGTATATTTTCAGTTAAAGTTAGTGTTCGTGCAAAACGGTCGGAAAATAATAGCCGAGCAATAATTTTGTGGCAACGTCTTGAGCAACGAATTGTCAGTGTAAAACCCGCCCAAGTACTATTATTAGAAACTCGAGGGACCAAGGCATCGTAATTCGACTTATATTTCGTGTTCGAAACAACAACGCGGGCTTAAAGCGCTGCATTAATATTGTTCATTGCTTAATTGTGTGTAATTACGCGTCATTTTAAAGTCTGCCGCGACCAGTAGTTGCAAATCGGCAAAAGTTATAAATTAATCTTACGTTATTATGTTTATTGCTTTGCTTTAAGTGCGAAAAACCTTTAGTCCTGAATACAATGTTTACTAAAAAACTGTAAATATATCTTACTAAATGCTCTTTATAATTAAGTATTCGTTTTATCTTTTTACAAAACTTCTCGATTCCTCCAGCGTCGATTTTTGCTTAGTCGAACTTCCTAACGTTTCGCCAATTGTCCTGTTGGCTTCTTCAGAGCTTGACTTAACAAGCTTTTATGTGTAGGATTACTCTGTACACCGACCTTTTTGCTACATCGTAGAGACAATAACGGTATCCTCAATTTTGCTTCTTCGAAAATCTAGTTCCGCTTTACTTTGAGAAAGCATCCATCATACCCGTAAGGAAATAGACCAAATCAATAAGGCTCTTCTGTCTCTACACCTTGAAATTTCTTCCATCTTGCCCCCATCCGAGTTCGATACCCTTTCAAACCCTTTCACATTCGGAAATTTGAAAAACTAACGTCAACACTAGGAAAACTATCAAATTCTTCTTAACTACCATACACTGTGATAAATGTATCATCGCACTAGCTTTCGGAAACTGAAAAATCGGTTCTTTCAAAAGGTTTCAACTTCGTCCTTGCCCCACGTATTATCCCAAAAGAGGAGTCTATCCTAAACATACTGCCATCTCAAATAGGTAATGAAATTCGATTTGAAACCGCAAAAATCCTTAAGAAATCAAAACCTCCTAAATCTAATTTTGCCAAGCCTGAATTCATGGCCCTAAAATCTCTAAAACCTAATCCCGACATCGTAATTCTGAAAGCAGATAAAGGAAATGCTACGGAAGTTTCAAGATATTCTTACAGACGGATTGTATCGTCAATTTAAAAAAGATCCTACGTCATCTATGGAACTCAACCTTAAATCTGTTATTAAGGCTTCTTCTTTATCAAACTCCGTGAAAAAATCTGTCATAACTAAAATTCCTCATCTCTACGGACTCCCAAAGATCCACAAATCAGGATTACCCTTGCAACCTATTGTCAGCACCATTGGTTCTCTAACATATTCTCTAGCAAAATACCTAGCTTCTTTATTAAAACCCCTTACATGGAAAACTGATAGTTTCGTACTTAATTCCTTTCACTCCATTGAAGAATTAAAAAGCAGTCCATTAGATACACAAGATTTCTATTTAGTTTCGACGTAGAATCCCTCTTTACCAAAGTTCCTATTCCTGAAACTCTCGACATCATTTCAGATATATTAAAATCCGAAAATCTGGAACCAAACCTTCTCACATTTATTGGAAAATGCTTATCGGGAACATATTTTTCTTATAACGGTCAAATTTTTGTCATCGCGAATATATTTATGGAAGCCTTTGAGAAGAAGATTTCTAGACACCTTTCATATAAAACCAAAATTATGGGAACGCTACATCGATGATACTTTTGTTATTTGGCCTCATGGTCAAGAAAGCCTAGTAACAGACATTTAACCACTATACGCCCTAACATACGTTTTACCATTGAGTTGGAAACTAATAACAACCTCCCATTCTTAGATATTCTTATCACTAGAAAATCAGACCTAACTTTGGGTCATTGCGTTTACAGAAAACCTACGCACACAGACCGATACCTTAATGCATGGTTATCAACTCTCTTGTTTACAGCCCGAGTCCACATTTCCACATTAAAGATATTAAGCGTTACATCGCAAAATACACTTCACCACAATCTTCCAATAGCAATGAGGCCGAAAGCAATCCCACACTTGCCACTGTGGTCCTTCCTTACATTCAAAACATCACTGGCCGCATATCAAAAGTTTTAAAGAAATGTAACCACAAACCAGATTTATCACTTGTCCAGAAATCTCCCAACATCTTCGATCTGTCAAAGACAAAATTCCATTTGAGATGCCAGTAGTTTACAGCATTCCATGCATATGTGGCAAAGAATACATTGGAGAGACCGGACGAAAGATATCAACTAGGTTCAAAGAAGATGAAAGAGCTTTCAGGCTAAGACAAATAAACTTATCAGCAGTTGCCGAACACAATCACGAAATTCTTCTACCAACGGAAAATCCGAGAGTCTATAGAAATCTGTAAACAACCCAACAATCTTAATCGCGACTCAGGTCTCTCCCTGTTACCAATATGGGAATCAGCCATCCGAGACGGTGTTTATGCCCTTCATTTAGCTCCGCCCCAATCAAACAATATAAAAGCAGGTACGGAGTAAAACGCGAGCCAGTTTCAGTCAAGCTCTGAAGAAGCCAATAGGGTGATTGGCGAAACGTCAGTAAGTTCGACAACTGACGCAGGAGGACTCCAGAAGTTTCGTAAAAATTATTACAGTAGCCTGTGAAACTTTTTTTTTTAATTTTGTTTTATTGTTATTCATTAAATCTTTTTAAATAGAAAGGTGTTTTTATTTGTTAGGCACCCAACTTCCTGCCGTCACGGGGATCTGTGTTGGGATGCCTGTTGAATAATACAGTTCTTAGTTGATAAGAGAATCTATTTTATACTATAATTTTGCCCATACCGAAACACAAATAGAAAGAAAAAACTCGTTTCAAAATTTTCGCTCGTGCTTATTTCTCGAGAGAATTATTAACGTGATGTTTTCTTTTTCAGGCTTAATGGCAGCGTTATGGATAAGGTAGGTCATCATATCGTTATAAAAGTCCAAGTCCTTACGGTCAAGTTAATAAAAATAACGAAGACGCTACAGTAAAAGTGAAACGAAGGACGAAAATCCTAATAGTCTCCAAGAAAATAAATAAATTTCGATCGGTAGTTTTGGTTGGCCTTTTATATGGTTCGACTTCAACGCCAGTCTTAACGCATGTTATTATATTGTATCGTGCTTTCAATGTATCTTGATAACATTTTAATTGGCTGCAACTTTTTTGTTCTTAGAGATATCCAGGTAAACAAAAAAAAACAAATTGTAGGGTTAGTAGCCACGTTTTTTTCCAAGTATTAAATAAAACACTATCAATGTATATGTATCACTAACATATAAGCCTACATAAGATTTTTTTAATGGAACACCCTGTATATTATGTATGTGTTTCATAGAATATCTTATTCCGATTACAATGATGTAACATACTTTATATTTTAGTTCAGTCGTTTTTGACAAATCGGCAAAAATAGGAAATTTTTATAGAATTTCAAAGAGTGCCCTGACAGACTGCAACAACAATAATTATTTACAAATTAAAGTAGAACAAAAACACTAGAAATGACAAGACACACTAAAATACTGATGTATGTGTCCACCATTTTCCTGATCACATTTCTCATACACCCTACACGTTTAGTAACGTTTCCGGATTGTCTCTTAACTGATTGCCATGACATTATTACGAGGAGTTTTGTGCACGTGGTTTTTTGTGTCCAAAATCCATTAAAATTAAGTTAAAGTTGGCTGGCCAATCCATAGGTCCGCCGCTCACTATCCAACGCCTGGGATATTTAGGGATAAATCTTCTATGTATTGTTCTATTTGGTGAAATTTAACTGAGGTGACTTTTACTTGATGAAAATCCATTTAACAAAATAAATAAGATTTTCACGAAATTATATATAAGGTTGTTCGGAAAGTCATTTCGTTTTTTCCCGTCAGAGGACTTAATTACGTTTTTTCGAAACCAACTTCACACTTAAGCCGCATAACCATTATATGTCTTGAGAGCTGATATTGCAAGGCTTGTGTGTGAAAAAGTTCTATTAATTCTACGCAGTAGTTTTTGGTTGGTGCCATTTTAAATATAAGCAGCATTTTCATCATATTTTGCTTTTTTACTTTAGAAAAGGTAAAAATGCTGTCCAAGCGAGAAAAAAATTGACGGATGTGTATGGAGAAGGCGTGTTAACAGTACGCCAGTGCCAAAACTGGTTTGCAAAATTTCGATCCGGCAATTTTGATGTCGAAGATGCACCACGGTCTGGAAGGCCGGTCGAAGCTGACAAAGATGCGATAAAGGCATTAGTTGATGCAAATCGGCGAATAACCACACGAGAGATCGGTGAGAGATTAAATTTGTCGAATTCGACTGTTTATGGCCATTTGAAAGGTATGGGCTTAACCTCGAAGCTCGATGTGTGGGAGCCCCATGTCCTTACGGAGCGAAATTTGTGTCGTCGCGTTGACGTGTGTGATTCGCTCCTCAAACGTCAAGAAAATGATCCATGTTTGAAGCGGATTATGACTGGGGACGAAAAATGGGTTGTATACAACAATGTTAAACGCAAGAGGTCATGGAGCAGAAAAGATGAACCGGCTCAAAGCGTGTCAAAAGCCAACATTCACCAAAAAAGGTGATGCTCTCCGTTTGGTGGGATGTCAAAGGAATCGTTTTTTTTTTGAGCTTTTGCCGGACAATACAACGATTAATTCAGAAGTCTATTGTCATCAACTGGACAAATTGAATGATTCACTTAAAGAGAAGAGGCCCGAATTAATCAACAGGAAGGGTGTAGTGTTCCACCAGGATAATGCGAGACCTCACACAAGTTTGATCACTCGCCAAAAACTTTTACAGCTTGAATGGAACGTACTGCAACATCCACCATATTCTCCAGATCTGGCGCCTTCCGACTACTATTTGTTCTGGTCCCTGCAAAATTTTTTGGATGGCAAAACCTTTACCTCAAATGAAGATGTCAAAAACCACCTGAACCAGTTTTTTGCCAGCAAGGACCAAAACTTTTATGAGAGAGGAATTATGTTACTGCCAGAAAGATGGCAAAAGGTGTTGGACCAGAATGGCCAATATATAATTTAATAAAATATTTATTCGTTATACGAAAACTGTCTTTCATATTCCCAAAAAAAAAAAACGAAATGACTTTCCGAACAACCCAATATTTTGACATGACAATTGTTTGGACAACACCGTGTCTTTATCAAATGTAATATTTACAAATTACCTGCTACTATATATACCGAACAATGACATTAAAACCTTAATTGATGTTGTAGTGGGAATTTAAGTTTAATAACAGAGAGGTATTTCGATCTAATTGATCGTTAAGCAAATTTAATTTGCTACTTTTTGTGGCTGTATGTAAAATATCAAAATTGTCGTCAAAAGTATGTTTTTCTGTGTTTAAGTGTGTAGCATAATTAGAATCTAGACTATTGTTTTTAAACGCTGGTTTATGTTCTACCTGTTTGGCCAATATAAATTTTAGAATATGTAGACACCTGATTTTTGAGATTTTTTACACTTAGTTTTATTGTTTTTTTAAAAAATTTCCTATTGCGTTGTTAGTTTGACAAATGTTTTGTAACCTTTTCACTAGATTCTCCTATGTATGCAATTGTTTTAAATTGTACGTGTTCTGCATTAGGTTTCGGAGAAATAGAGTTTACTGTTGTCTGGATTCGTTTTTTATTTATAATTTTATCGATTCAGTGTTCAGTGCAATTTGTTTAATGATATTAAGTTCTTTGTTGTAATTTGCTGTTGAGAGTATCGTATTAAGAAGTCTGTATATAAAAGAGTGAAATGCAGCCAGGTATCCTGTTCAATCTCGATAGTGTGATCGAAACACTTGTCATGTGAATATATATAATTTCGTGAATATCCGATCTTTTAGTTCTTATTTATTTTCTATTTGGTGCGCTAAAATATCGCTCTAAATATCGGACCCAAAATATGCCCGTCTATGACACCGCACCTTAATTGATTGGCACCTCTGGTTTTTATTTCGTGTATTCGTCTAGAATTATTTAATTATACAATATCGCATGTTTTGTCTGTTGCAACCCTTTCTTTCATCACTCAATAAAAAGTTTTTCAAAAAATTGTTATTCTCATTATGTCTATTTAAAAAATCCAATCAAAACTGCATCCTCCTTTGACACTGTTATGCACTGCGTATTTTTTCAAAACTGAGTGGGTTGATCCCAGAGAAATACCTATCTCTTCATAGACTCTAGTAATATGTTTGCCTTATTTTCTTCATTTAAAACATTATGATATGCGGCATACTTTTTTAGGATTTAATACGTCACCGTTTTCTGCAAATTTCTTTGACAGCCTTGGAAATACCTGTTTTGAAGGAGCTCGGCGCTCTGGATAAGGTCTACTATACGCAAGACAAGCTGCGGTTGCACTTTTATTATTGAGAAAGTATACTTGAAGCATATCGCTCCTTTCACGGGTGCTAAATTCGCGAAAACTCATGTTAACAATACTGATTTGGAGAATAATTCAACCATCAACGTTGTCTACTGATAAATATATTTTTATTTGTCAGTCAGGGCACTCTTTGAAATTATTTAAAAATTTCCTATTTTTGCCGATTTGTCAAAAACGAGTGGACTAAAATATATAATATTTTATTAAACACATATATAATATACCGGGTTTTCCATTAAACAAAAAAGTTATATGTCAGAAAATTGATAGTGTTTTGTTTTATACGTCACTTGGTTACTAACCCTTTGCTATTATTTTTTTTGTTTACTTTGATATCTCTAAAAACAAAAAAGTTACATCCAATTAAAATGTTATCCAGATAAATCGAACGCATTCTACATGCACCTTGTATAGTACGAGGGCTGCTACTTATATTTCTGGCTTAATAATGAATAAACAAATACTTATCATCGAAATTGCTTTTATTGTTTTTCAAAAATATTGTCATACATTGGAACCAATCTTTGAAGAAGTTTTTCCACTCTGATCGAGTTAGCTTGGCTTCAAAACGAGCGTTGTGCACGCATCAACTATTCTTCGGGTGTTAAAAATTGACCACGTAACTTTTCTTTAAACGTACGCGAATAAAAAGGAGTCATTAGGTGCCAAATGTGGGCTGTACGGCGGATGATCCGTCAATTTGATGTTTTAAGAATTCCTTTGTTTTAGTTATTGATTGCCAACGTTTTTTTTTCACATATCTCGCTCATCCTTTAGAACAGACGAATACTGTAAATACAATACATAAATACGTTGTAGCTTTCTGCACAGTTTACGATGCTGTCTAATCCAAATTATCCCATCTTATTCAGTTTTTTATTTGCGGCTAATATTTCACCCACAAAAACGGCCATTTTATTATTTATTATTGTTTATTTATTATTTTATAGAGGACACACTTTGTATATTATCAAAAAAATGCTCGCAGTAGAGGTTATAGTCCTGGATCTTCCGGTCTATGAGTTTTTCAAATAGAGTAAATGGTTTTGGAGAGAATAATGTTTTTTTTTTAACCACGCAGTACGCAGTCAATGACGTCATCGCGTCTAGAATTTTGATATACGGCAAATAATTTAATCCTGGAAAGAACAATTTTGGATTCTTGTCCATAACTGGAATACCCTGTATTTAATCAAAAAAATGCTTAAAGCAGAAGTTGTGACCTTGGATCTTCCGCGTTTCCTGTTTCAAGAATTTTTGCTATCGGAAAAGTGGTTTTCGAGAAAACAGTTATTTCCTGAACAAAAAAATTTTGAAAATTAAAAAAAAATTCTTCGTGATTTTTGATTGCACCTGGTTTCTATAGTTTAGATATGGGTAGGGCCTTTTTACCCTTTGCCAAATTTGAAGTCCATAGCTGTAAATTTAGGACACTTCATACGTTTTTAATGTAGCAGTTAATGTATGGAACACCCTGTACTGTAGGTGAAAACCTTAAATACAG